ACGGCTGACCTGGAGGAGCAGAGAGACGAACAGGTGGCAGCCGGGGCCAGGCCACACGGGGCGGGGGCCTCAGGAGTGAGCGAACTCGGAGCCACCGGAACTCCTAGTGGCAGGTGGGTGGTCAGAAAGCTGGCGCTGGGGTCCCCTGGGACTTGGATGGTGGGCGAGGCTTGGGCAGAGACAGCGGGCACTCACTACGGGCGTTGGGAGCACCCACTGCGTGCCGGCCTGTCCCCAGGGCTTGTATGCGTCCTTCCATTCGATCGTCACAGTGAATTAGAGACTATTCTTGTCCCCGTTCCAGGGCCTAGGACACTGAGGAGGCTTGTCCCAGGCACACAGGGTGTGGTTACAAAAGGTGGTCGGCAAACTGCGGCTCGCAAGCCACATACAGCTCTTTGGCCCCTTGAGTGTGGCTCTTCCACAAAATACCACGTGCGGGCGCGCACGTACAGTGTGATTGAAACTTCGTGGCCCATGCGCAGAAGTCGGTATTTTGTGGAAGAGCCACACTCAAGGGGCCAAAGAGCTGCATGTGGCTCGCGAGCCACAGTTTGCTGACCACTGGCCTAGACAGTGTGGCCCAAGCCCAGGGCCCAGCCACTAGGCAGGGCTGCCCTTGACTTGGTCCAGGCAAGAGGTGATGTATGTGGCCAGCCCCCGGGGGAGGCATGGTGGGCCAAGAAGGGGTGGGCCGGACGCAAGGATCTCCAGGCTTTAGGGCAGGGCCCATGGCAGGCCTGGGGTGTCCACGGGAGCCCCTCCTGCACACACAGTGGCCCTGCCCCCCCCCGCCCCTCCCCTGCCTCGCCTGCCTCCTCTCCCCCCACCCCTCCCCTGCCTCGCCTGCCTGACCAACACAGATCTGCGTTCCCGCTGGGATTGAATTCATCTTCCGCGGCTCTGTCTCCCTTCATATGCCCTCCTTCCTCTCCTCTCGGCCTCACCAGATTCGATGTTTAAAAATAATCCTCAAATATGGGAACACAGTCCCCGCTGACCGGGGGCAGCGCCGAGACGCCTGCCCGACCCGTGATTGCAGATGCCGTCAGAGCTCAGGAGAGTCCCGCTCACCAGAATGCCCCCGGCTATTTGAGTTTTATTGTGGGCAGTTTCCCAATTTGCAAGGAAATAGAAGCTGGATGATAAGTCTAATCTGTCTGTGTACACGTGCTTTCTGGCGGGCCTCGCACTGTACATTGGGAGGCTGGGTTGGCCTCCTGTCTGAGTTGCTGAGTGGCTGTGTGACCTTGGGCAAGTCACTTCACCTCTCTGAGCCCAACCCAGAGACTCCCCACCTGGACCTTGTCCAGCAGCCCTAGGAGTGGCCAAGGAGACTGAGCGGACCACAGGGAGTGTGCGCGTGCTGGACAGGGGACGGACACAGCCCGTGGTGGCGGGGAACACCTGCGGTGTGCAGGACCCGCACGCCCGCCAGCCAGGGTAACCTCCCACAGGCCCTGAGACCACTGTTCAGGCCCCTCAGACAGTCCTGAGGGCCCGGGGCCGGCGTTGGCGGGCTGGGATTCTCACCCGTCTGTGGCACGTGGGAGCCCACACCCTGTGGCCACAATGGCCAGCTGGCCAGGCCCTGGCCAGGCCCCTCCTGGGCGGATAGAGTAGGGCATGGGGGCCAAGGCGTGGCTGGTGGGCGTCCTTGCACAGTGCCCCTTAGGGCAGTGGCTCCCTCCCTCTCAGGTCCCTTCAACAGTCAGTGCTCAGCGAGTAGATGTCGAGAGAATCAATGAATGAATTAGTGAATTAACACATTAATGAAAGAAGAGGTGGAATACGATAGGCCTCAATGGAGATGATCTCCTTCCAGCTGATGGAATCCAGGCAGTCTTCCCGGAGGAGGGGGCACTGGAGCAGCTTCTGAAGTGGTACAGGATTTACTCACAGGAACCAGGGCGGGCACCCCAGGTGTGAGTGACAGCCTCCCCCAATACATGCAGGGCTTGGTGGGAGGGGGAGCAGCAGGAGACAGGGCTGGGCACGTGGCAGAGGTGGACTCCTCTTCCCACCGGCTCTCAGATTGGAGCCTCAGCTCCAAAACTGGGGCAGCCTCCCCTGACAGGGGCCAGAGGGACCTGGGCCTCCCCGTCTGTAGATGGGGCCAACATTGGGGGGGCATCATCCTCGAGGACCCTCCTTCCCTGCCCCCCAACAGTGCATTGTCCAGGGCGGATCCCCAGGTTCCCCAGTGGAAATCCTTTCCTAAGCACTTTCAAATGCTTTAATCTCCTTCCTCCTCCCTGAGGGCCCTGAGGGAGGCCAGGAGGACACCCAGGCTCAGAGCAATTAAGCAGCTTACAGCCCGCGGGGCAGAGCAGGCTCCGTGCGGGGTGCGGGGTGCGGGGCGGGCGGAGCAGAGGAGAGTGGAGAGGCCTGTGGAGAGACAGGAGGGCCCTCCCCCAGGAGCACTCACCGGGAGTACTCATCATGGCTCAGTATTTCAGCCTTGGGTCTGCCACCCCCTCTTCTGTTCTGGCTCACACCTCAGAAGGGCTCCTGGTACCCTTATGCCGCCCACTGCCCACTGCCCACTGCCTGTGCTGCTGGTGAGAAGACCAAGGGCCTGAGAGCAGGGCCAGGCCGGATGTTGCGCCTCCTGTGCTGGGCCTTGAGGCTGGGCCGGGCTCCTTGCCCCGAAGACTCCAGCTTCTGGGCTGTCCCGTGGCTCTCTGTTCTGCTGCCAGGATCCTGAGCTGCCTGCGCCTGGCTCCCGTCCCTGCGCTCCCTGCCAGGCTGCCAGCTTTTGAGAGTGAGGACAAGCCAGCTGATTGGCGGCCCCTGCAGCCCAGGCCGGGGCCGGACCCGAGTCGGTGCCCCAGGACAGTCTGGGCAGCCAGAGGGGCTGCTCCTGGGGGCTGCGTGTGGCCCTGCTCAGCCTCCTCTCCCAGAGCAAACTTCACCACGAGGGCCCATCTCTGGGGCCACCCGGGGGGCTGGAGGGCCTCACCAAGGCGGGGACAGGGTGGCACTGACATCAGAACCAGGATGGAAGGGGCAGGGCGCCCACAGGAACCCGCTGAGCAGATGGGGGACAACCTGGGCAGGCGGGCGCGGCCGGCTCTGCAGGGGTCCACCCCTCACATCACATCCTGCTCCCAGGTGAGTGGCGAGCATCCTGCGCCCTCCCCGGGGCTGCTGGACCGGGGCTCGCACACAGAAGCAGGCGCTCGCAGCCTGCAGGCCAGAGCCCGGGGTCACCAGGGCTGGCTCCTGTGGGAGCTCTCAGGGCGACTGTCCAGGCCTCGCCCTGGCTTCTGGGAGCTTGGGGGTGATCCTTGGGGTTTGCTGGCGTGTGGGCTCGTCACCCCATCTCCGCCTCCGTCTTCACCTGGGTCCTCCCTGTGCGTGCGTCTCTATGAGGAGCCGGTCATGGTGGGTGGGGCCTATCCTCTCTGCTGTGACCTCATCTTAATTGCATCTGCCTCAGCCCCAATTCCCAATAAGGGCCCATTCTGAGTTCCTGGGGTTAGGGCTTCCACATGAACTTGGGGGGGACACAATTCATACACCATAATGGGGTGCCACTAGGGCCCCATTTGGCCCAGAGTCCAGCACAGAGTAGGTGCTATAAAGATGCATCCCCTCCTGCCTCTCCCCCTCTCCCCCTGCCCACCCCCACTGGCTGCACTGGCCTCCCCGCGCTCCCACCTCAGGGCCTTTGCACTGGCTGCCACCTGGCCCGCAGCCCTCCTCCTGAGAGCCACACCGCGGGTTCCGGCCTCGGCCTCGCTCATGTCTGCTCAGCTGTCACCTCCCCAGCGAGGCCGCCCAGACCACCCTAACAGCCCCCACGTCAGCACTCTACACACACACATGCACACACATGCACACACAGGCGCGCGCGCACGCACACACACGCATGCACGCACACACCTTGCTTTAGTCCCCTCCTAGCCTTTTTATTGCGATAAAATACGCATAACGTAACATTTTCCACGTCAGCCCCTTTCGGTGCACAGCTCGGCGGCAGCGAGTACCTTCGCTTTGCTGTGCAGCCTCCACCGCCATCGTCTCTAGAACTTTTGCATCTTCCCCGACGGAAGCTGTTCATTAAACACCAACCCCATCCCTCCTCCCCCAGCCCCTGGCGGCCACCAGCGACTGTCTATGAATTGGACTCTTCCAGGGACCTTATGTAAGTGGAATCCCACGGAATGTGTCCCTCGGTGACGGGCTCATTTCGCTCAGCAGTGTCCTCGAGGTTCACCGTGTGGCAATGCCAGCATTTCCTTCCTTTTTGTGGCTGAATCCTAGGCCGTGGTCCGGATGGACCACATTGTGGCTTTTCCAGTCACCCGTCCACGGACACCTGGGTTGTTTGCCCCTTTGGGCTCCCGTGGCTTGTGCTTCTGTGAACACCGTGGACAGGGGTCTGTTCTCGTCCTCAGGGTGTGTCCCCTCGGAGTATTTTAAATGCTGATCCGTTTCGGTGCTGTCGGTACAGTGCCGGCCGGGGCAGGGACTGCCTCTGTTCAGTGCTAATGCGTCTGTTTCGTTCACTGCTGTGTGCCTGATGCTGGGACGGGGCCCGCCTGGTGCACACTGTGGCCGGGTTCCTGGAAGTCACGGTTCGAGACACCGCAGGAGGCCAGGGTCCTGCGCACCCGGAGGTGCAGGCGCTGTCCTCCGTCCCAAGCAGCC